ATATATATATATATATATATATATATATATATATATGTACATATACATATACATATAGGACGAAATATTCGTGTGCAACAAAATACTTATGTTCCTCCAATACTTCAACCGTTTCATTTGATTTTATCAATGTCTCTATTATTATTTAATTTACTGGGAACACACGTGCTCGCAATCACATTGATGCCTACTCTATACATATATATGCATATACATATATATATATATACATATACATATTATTATATACATATACATATACACATACACATATACATATATACCACATATATATATATATACGTATATATATATATATATATATATATATATATATATATATATATATATATATATATTATAATTTGTATTATTACTTTGACTAAAAACTAATTACTATATATGTTAATCGTTGCTACTTCAATGAACCGAAAGAAAATACGAATATCGCGATTGAAACATTGCTTTTAATGCCAATTTCTGACCTGAAAAAAAAATCGTTGCAGGATTTTAGTATTTATTAATTAAAATATATTAATAAATTGTAGTTGTTGGTCACAATGTTCATATCGATCCATTAATTATTTAGTAATTAACTAATTTAACATGTTAATTAAGATATATTAACTAAGATATTCGTAAGTTTGTGTGAAATTATTTACATAATTGCAGTTTATTTGTACGGCATTTCGACGGATACTTGTCACCTCATGTGGACCATCCTGAGCTATGCTTACCAAAAATGCGGTAATCTCGAGATAATATTAGCATTTGCTTTTATTTTGTTTTACATTTACATCCAATGTTAAGCCCACTGATTTTTAATGCTTCAATAATTGAAACCATAAATTATTTTGTTTACATAAAATTTACAATGAAACTGATAATTTATAAGATTATTTTTTTGAAACAGGATAAAATAGGTAAAATTTTATTGAAAAAAAAAATTTACATTGACGATGTAAGTTGATTTAATATGCTGAATCATTATTAATGGTATGTACCTATTATATTTCTATAAATTATTCAAAAAATATCTCATTAATCACACTATCGTAAATAGGCCTATTGAAGTATTATTAATTCTTAATTAAAGCATTATTCGAGCACCTTCATTATTATTATTATTATTATTTTATATATTATTTATCAACCATATTAACATTGAATACATGAATTAGCCTATGTGCGTACAATTATCGCAGAAAATAAACTTATAATTTATAAAATATGTTTTTAAACAGAAACATATAAATAACATTTTTATTTAAAAGCAGGTTTTGCATGGACGTAATTTTACTTAATATGCTGATTATTATTATCTCATTAATCAAATTGTTGTAAAATTATTATTATTATTAATTGTTTTTTTTATGTATATGCCTAGGCCTATATAATATATAATGTATATATTTAATAATTTAATTAGAAATAATTATAGTTATTAATTGTAAAACAAATATAATATAATGTTAACAATAATATAGGTTAAGCTAGACCTAATCAATTATTGATATAATAAAGCCAAATCTTTAGAACACCATTAATACAACACCTTCATGACAGTCCAGCCTTCCAAATCTTGTTTTAATACCTACTAGAATTCACTCTAATGCTATATTTTGTACTTTATTCATTATTATTTTATTATCATTATTATTACTTATTTTATTATTATTATTTATTTATTTATTATTATTATCTGTATTATTATTATTATTATTATTATTATTATTATTATTATTATTATTTTCAATGCTATATTTGATCTTCATTCATTATTATTATCATTATTATTACTTTATTATTATTAATTTATTATTATTAGGCCTATCTGTATTATTATTATTATGATTTTTATTTGTATTATTATTATTATTATTATTATTATTACAGTATTATTATTAATATTATTATTATTATTATTATTATTATTATTATTATTATTATTATTATTAGTCCAGCCCTCCAAACAGTCCAGCCCTCCAAATCTTGTTTTAATAACTACTAGAATTCACTTTAATGCTATATTTTGTACTTCATTCATTATTATTTTATTATCATTATTATTACTTATTTTATTATTATTATTATTTATTTATTATTATTATCTGTATTATTATTATTTTCAATGCTATATTTTGATCTTTATTCATTATTATTATCATTATTATTATTTATTTTATTATTATTTAATAATTATTATTATTATGTGTATTATTATTATTATTATTACTATTATTATTTTCAATGCTATATTTTGATCTTCATTCATTATTATTATCATTATTATTACTTTATTATTATTATTTATTTATTATTATTAGGCCTATCTGTATTATTATTATTATAATTTTTATTTGTATTATTATTATTATTATTATTACAGTATTATTATTATTATTATTATTATTACAGTATTATTATTATTAATATTATTATTATTATTATTATTATTATTATTATTATTATTATTATTATTATTATTATTATGTCTGCCATTATCATTGTTTCTCTTGTATAGGTAATGTTCCCTTTTTTGCCTACTAATCTCATTACGTTTTCAGTGAAATAAAATTATGAATTATGAATTACAGTATACCAATGTTATCTATCGATAAAAACATTGATTCAATTAATTAACAGCAGCTTTTCGCACTGTGGCAGTGCCGATAGAAAACAGCAACTTTTTGGCACTGCGGCAGTGCCGATGCTTTTTTTCGCACTGCGGCAGTGCCAAAACGGCACTGCGGCAGTGCCGATAGCCACTACCGTAATGAAGTGTATACCATGAAACGCATTTGATGAAATCAGATAATTCACAACATTTATTGACACTAATCAATATAGTAATAGTTATGTAAATATTCAGCTTTCTTTTTAATAAATTATAAGATAAGGAATTATATTTAAAATATATGTAAAATGTTTGTTGTTTAGATAGAGGACAATTACCAAAATAATAAATCTATGGCGCGCCATAGAAAAATAATAGTATTGTTAGATTGTTTCCAGGCAACCAAAGACGGTGTGTTTTTTTATTTGCAACTTTGCACACGAAAGCGACGAAGTAAACAGGAGGACTCGCTAAGTTCGTTTAGTATGTTGGGAGTTATTACTAAATATTAATTCATTTAAACTATCATTTTGATGAGATAACAATCCACAGATTTTACACCACAAGACCTAAGGTAGCTTTTGTATTTATGTTTGTATTAAAATGTTGTGTCTGGGCCTAGCCCCGTCCTAGCGCACTTTGTCTTTGTTTGGCTACAGGCTTAGGCCTAAGCCTAGGCCTAACTAAGCCAGGCCTAGGCCTTGCTGAAAAGCAAGCGTTACTTTAGGCCTAGGTCCTAGTAGGCCTAGGCCTAGCCTAGCTAGGTATGTTGGGGGACTGGGTGATGCTTAGGTCATTCCCCAGGCCCAGTGAGCTTCAGTCAGGGGAAGAGCCTGGTGGGGTCCGGGCCTTTTTAATGCATTTCTGAAAGTTTGAAACCCATAAAATCCTACTAGGCTAGGCCTAGGCCCTAGGCCTATATTTTTACGCCCCCCCTCCCCCCAACCAAGGTATACCGCTTCCGAATATTAATAAAATAGGCCTATGCCCTAGTAGCCTAGGTCTGCCGTATTATTGAAGGTTGGGGTAAAGCCAACTGCACCAATCAACAACTTGGATTTGCATAATATTTGTCAGAACTAGGCCTAGGCCTATATACTTGGCGGTGATGCTTATGATGCATCATGCTGTAGCCTAGGCCTACCTGTAAAGTTATAAGAAATAAATATAAAAATTTGTTGGTTTTTGATGCAAAAAAAGGCTGGATTTTTACACGCAAATGCTTTGGCTGTTCAAACCAATCCTTGGTTATTTTATTGGATTGTATTTTAAATTTTAGTTTGTTTATTAATTTTAGGGATAATTTGAACGTCATGGCTGGAAAGACAGATATGGAAAGAGTTGGTCTCTTTAAAGAGATGGGATATACAACAATCGGGGATAAATATTCAACAAAAGGCAGTAAGTTTTTTTTTTTTTTACTGAAGCTTGGTAGAGGAGGGGAAAGAAAGAGTATAAACATGTAAACTCAATTTCCTCCAGCCTATCAATTAGGAACGATAGAGAAAGACTAAAAAAAAAATAAAAAGAAATATACTATATAAAATTACATGAACGTCTTAATAAAATACAGTAGGCCTACATACGGGTAGCGGGCATGCAGTCACTCCAGATGTGCTGCCAAACCGTAAACTGTATAATACACTTAATTACAAACTAAAAGCATTTTAATAGGTGGAAGAGAAAATAAAAATATAATTTTATTGATGATTTTAACAAATTCTTTATTTCATATATGTTATTTAATATACATATATGATCAAGTATGTACTGTTTGATGTTGTTTTTAAAATACAGTAATTTAATATGTGATCAGCTCTGGCAAATCACACCGTTTGTTGCAATTTCTAATTTTGCACAAGCACCAAAAATATTCGAGGATCAGAATTTTGAACATATTCCGGTTTTTGCATTTTATAAAAGATATATTGTTCAAGAAAATTTTTGCAAAATATCAATCATTAATCTAACAGAAAGTGTATTAAAATTATTTTTAAAATACAAATCTTAATAATAAACTATTGATTTTGGAGTCTTTGGGAGCTGTTTTCTCAAAACCTACATGAATGCTATTCAATGAATACTCATAACTTCGCTAATACTCAACCAATTATTTCCATCTAATAAATTCATGCAGAATCTATAAATACCAAAATCTTAATTTTGAATTTTACCTACAAATGGCTGGATTTGCCAGAGCCAGTCACATTTATGGTATATTTAATATACTTATAAATATATGATAATGTACTCTTACTGTTATTTTATTTTTTAATTTATTATATTTTTATATACTTTCTTTTTAGCATCTTTCAATGATGCAGCTCACAAGAGCAAGCAGATGTTACCTGGCGGTTCAAAGACCAGGTCGTCTTTACAGTCAGGATACTTTGACGACAAGTACAACCGCGTAATGGAGGGAGAAGCGTATAGTGACCCAGTGAAACGAAGACGGCAGGAAAGAATACAACAAAGTAAAAAAAATATTGGCAAGGCATTTCTACCCAGTAATGGTGACAAAAAACCGTGAGTATAATAATATAAGCCACAGTAGCAAATTCAGAAATTTGAAATAGAGGGGGCTTAGGGAAGCACTTTCACAGATGGAGAGCCTAGACCACCCCACTCTCAGACGCAAATTTTATCATATTTTCCCTTTCTTCTAATTTTTTATCATAATTTTAAAAATTTAGGTAGTGGTGGTGGGGAGAACGGGGTGGGCAACACCTTGAATTCGCCACTGAACCCATGTAAAAAAATGTTTAATTAGTGGCAGCGCCAGTGGGGGTCAAGGAAGCACAGGACCATGGAAGATTCCAATTATTTCGTCAGGAACACTGCATTAAAAATAGCATTTTTACTGTCTTCAGTGTGCCATATTTTCAGGCATTTAGGCCTGGTGCTTATTCTTAACATTTTGATCAAAACACAGTGGGGCTGCCAGCTGCTGAGGTAAATTTAAAACCCTGTCCAGAATTTAGACCTCCTGTCCGGGCCTTTTGACCCCCTAAACAAAACAAAAAAATGTTCCTCATAAGAAATTTAAAAAATAAAAATAAAAAATGGAAGGCTTTTTCAGAATACTGAGCAGCTAATAATTAGCTATTTTGTTTTTGTAGAAACTTTTTAATAATAATACAGTAGTTGTTATCGATCATAAATAAAAAATCATTCATTATAAGGCAATATTCAAAGGTAATCAAATGGTTGCATGACCACCAAGTTTTGTTCTGTTGTTTGTTAAATAATTATATAAAAGCTATTTTATATTCTTATAGTTATACACTATAAATTGTGCTAAAAAACGCTAATTTCCATGTTATGTGCTTTTTTTTTTTAGATCAGGAATTGGAAACCATTATGGCACATTTTCTGGTTCAGTTGGCGCTTTTAGTCCAGTTAAGAAATCAGGAAAAGCATACAAATCACCTGGCAAGAATGTGATCACCAATCCTGGAAGAAAAGGAACTGGCTTTGGGTATGTAAACTTCTAGTGCGTCAGAGGAGGAAGAGAGTAACTTCTATGTCCAGGGAGTCCCAAATAGTTTACGAGCCCAGTAAATAAACTAGGGGCGCTGGGGACTATAATAGGGAACGCACATTTCTTGACACAATGGGGTATTAGTAACAATTCAATAAAATTTTTGAGGACTTCAGACGCATATTTGGGTGAGTCGAATTTGCCAGTACCGCAGCCTTAACATCGGCACTGAACAGAGCCGCTCCTTGCCCATGGTTTAGTTGGTAGAACAATGTCTTGAATAAGGACCTAAAAACGAAATGTCCAGTGTATATATCAGGCTTGTATGCACCTTAAAAAACCCATTGCATCTTTTTGGATGAGTATAGGGGGTTAACTACCTCGATGCTGTGGTTCATTTCAGCCCATGTCGTCATGGAATTATGTAAAAAAACAGCACCTCGCTACGGCTGCTACAGTAGTCACAGATCACGCCCTTAGACAATTCAGCACAAGAACACAGCGAGTTATGAGTTATTCTCCTACCTACCCTTACCTTTATGTTTATACAAATGCAGCTTCCTTTTTTATCAGTGATAGAGGCCTATCTCAATTTCTTCCTTCTAAAAAAGTGACGTTACCTGAAGGCACATCAGTCCTCGACCAATTTAAAGATATTTAAAGACAGGTCTATCTGCCACTGTCTACGTATGTTACAGTGCTTTGCTTTTGACTGTTTAATTGTTTACTGTATTTTCTTTTTCTTTTTTTTTTTTTATAGAAGAATGAATTTTGTATTACAACTGGTAATTAATTCAAATGTTTAATAGTACTAACAAAATGTGTAAATCAGTAAACAATTATTTAATTTTGTGTATGTAATTGAATGTTGATAACTGTATAGTTATCAACAATGTTTTAGTTAATTGAGAGTTTATTTATAATTATTACTGACAAACAAAACTATAAAGTTAACATGTTAGGGGCTGAGCAGTACCAGTATGTATTTTATAAATTCAAGGTCTTCTGGATGTTAGTCCTGAAGGTGAGAGCTGAAGTCCAAAGAACAATACTAGGTTTGCTAGTTACTAGTAGTCAAATATTTTTACAAAGAATGGCTAATAATAATAATAATAATAATTTAATTTATTTCTTTCAGTTATGTCAATTTAACCATTGGTAAAAGTTACACATATTCTTCAAACTCTTTTGACAAAGGCAAAGAATTACGTTGGGTAAGGAATACACAATCTACCATAGTTGCACCATAGGCGATTCTCTGAGATTTTTGTCTATTGGGCACTATATGTGTAACTTTATTATGTTATCATTAATATTAGGTATCATAAAATTAATGATTAGGGGGATCACAGCTGGCCTGGGTCCCCCCTAAATTTTTACAAAATTATAAGTAAAAGGAAAACTTAATCAAATTTAAGTCTGAGAGTGCCATTTCCGGTTTAATAATCATAATTTTTTTCTTACCTCAGCTGCAACCATTGTGGGGCTGAGGTGGTTAAGACCCTGCATTTGTGAAAGTCCCTCCTGGACCTCCTCTATTTTGAATTCCTGGATACGCCACTGAATCATAAGTTAAAGTAAACTTAATGAACATTGATCATTAGAAACTAGCCTAAATGATAGCGCTAGTCTTAATATTGATGAAGTAAAATTTATTTGTAATTGGTTTTTATATTATTTACTTATTTCAGAGAGAATTGGAAGAACACAGAAAAGCTATGAAAGGAGGATCATTCAAGTTAAATATGCACCCAAAGGCATACTTTGATGGAAATCCATATGCCAGTGATAGGCCTCTTCCACCTCTCAAAGCAAATAAACAAAGCACAGAAAAGAAGGGTGTCCATCCTTTCAAGCCAAGCTCACCGGCAAAAAAGGTAGACAAATTATGTACTTTATATACTGTAGTATAATATTGAACCACTATTATCTCTTTATTCTAAATATTGTTTAGTTTTATTGACCCAGAATCCTCCCACTCCCCCCCCCCCCGTTATATTTTATTAAATTGCATATTATATTCTTTTAAAAACTTAATGTTTTTAAATTATTTGTATTTTATATTTATAAGGACACCTCTGAAAATAAGATAGTTTTACGACATCTTTTTTGGGCTAACCCGAGTTTCACTCTTTTTCATGTTATACTTTCTAGTATTTTAATTTTATCAAATCAACATTTTTCTCCTGTTTGTACAGGATTTTATCTTTGTTTAAATTTTTTTTTTCTTGTTTCTGCATCTTTGATGACTGTATTTTATCATATCCTCATATATATTTACTTCAACATGCTCTGGGGGTCATGACTTAAGAATAATAATAATTATTATCATTTAAGACATATATATTTAAAAACTGGGGGAACTTTTGAAATTTTTTCTCCCTTTTTTAAGTATTGTATCTGTATCAGAAAAATCAGTTGTACAACATATCAAAACATTTTTTTTCCTGCAGAAATCAATCATTGTACGTGAAAGCAATTGCTGTGTGAAAGGCATTTGAAAGTGAATAAAAAAAAGAAAAAAATTAATTAACCAATAATAATGAAATATTTTATTAATTTCAGATAGCTGGAATGAAGGCAGGAACATTTGACCCATATCCCTCACACTCTGAAGATCCATACAGGGTAAAGTCGAAGAAAGGTCCACCTTCGATGAACAGTAGTGGCAAGATATTCATGCCCACTCCAGGACCTAAGAGTGCCCCAACCAATTCAATTATAAACCAAAATGTTGTCAGGTAAGGTTGAAAGATTGTAGTCATAGCTGAAAGGAAAGCTGCCCCCAAGAGGCAAAATTGCAGATGTGATACTACCATTTCTTAAGCGCTGTAAACTGTTATCAAATTCTCTTTGACAAAAAAAACTGCTGTATGCCCATAGTCATGATGTGCCTATAATGTGGTCATGATGTGCCTATATAAGTGGCAAAGACAAGCCAAACCAGTCACTCGTCGCAAATCGTGTTTCAGAGAAAAAGGCCAAAACATGCTGGAATGTCTAATTTTAAAAAATCTATTTTATTGCACTAAACTAACCTTTATATATCTACACATCATTCTATGCTGTTATTTTCCCCATTTTCATTGTTAAAACAATACTTTTTAAGGATTTAAAGATAGTTTCTGCATGAGAAATGCCTGAAATCATAAACTTTGACGGTTAATTTCTCATATATTGTTCTTTAAACAGCTCTGTGATTAAACGCTTGTAACTTCATAAGGAAATGTCTGATTTGAATGATTTTTTTACCATTTTATAGCTATTATTTTACTCTCTAACACTGTATTATTAACTCAAAATTGATTTTTGCGACGAGTGACTGGTTTGGCTCATCTTTGCCACATATGTTCATGATGAGAGGTCATCATTACCATACTGTATTTAGGCATGGCACATGTTTTTGTGGAGCACTTTTGTAGGGAGGGCTTTTAGCGCAGTGGTTGCGGTTCTGCTGCTCAACCTTGAAGTCGGTCAGAGGTTCAATCCAATAATTGTGCATTTCGCTTTGTGTCCTTTATAGACAACGCACTTTACCTCTCCACCCAGGAGTACAAGTGGGTACCTGGTAGGTTCGAACACAAAATGCGCTGATTACAGCTGCGACATTATGAAATTCTCCCCAGGGAGCTGAGTATGTGTTCCATGTGCTTGATCCAATGACCGGGAGTAATTTAAATGTCAGTGGCGGATCCAGGAATTTGAAATAGAGGGGGACCATGAGGGAGGGACTTTGACAGATGGAGGGTCTATCACCTCAGCCCTACCATGGTCGGGGCTGAGGTAAGAAAATTTGCGATTATGGCACCTTTAGATGGCCGGAAATAACACTGTCAGACTTTTTTTTCCCAATTTCTTACAATTTTGAAAAATTCAGCAGGGGGGGGGGGGCTAGGCTCCCCTTGAATCCGCCAGTGAATGTTAAGTGCATAGAGGCCTCCACAACATGCGCTCTATAAGTCAACTATTATTATTATTATTGGATTGATTGGATTTATTCGGTGTAAACACCAAGTATCACCTGCGAAAGTCTAGAGAAGACTTATTGAAGTTCCAGTGAGGTCCTTTTGGTGATGATTGGGCAGTACACCGGGAGAAAATCCCCTACACTTTTCCGAAGAGTATACTGCGTTCTTTAACATGCACATGGGCCATAATGAACACAGCATTCAGCCCTCCAGCTGAAATACAAGGAGAGCAGCAATGGAAATTGAACTGTGGACCGAGAGACCTCCACGTTTCAGCGCACACAATTAGCCGACTGAGCTAAACTGCTCGCTTAATTATATTATTATTATTTTGTCAAGTAAAATTTGATAGTCTAAACAGGGCTTTACAAATTGGAGGGCACAGGAATGTAAGGTTTTTTTTTTTTTTTTTTTAAATATACCCTAGTTTGTAAGCTTGTGGTTTAAGCATTGAAGTATGACATACACTCTTGTAAATTGCGACTGCAGCTTTATATTCGCGAGACCTACAACAAATAATGTTACAAAATTATTACATTATAGATAGATAATGACTTGGTGTACTTAAAAAAAGCGTGTTTCGTTGCCTTTTAATTGTTCGGCTACATGGAAACATATAAAATTCCTATAGTGGTATTTGTGGCAATGACAAGCCAAACCAGTCACTTGTCGCAAATCGTGTTTCTGAGATAATGGCCAAAACATGCTGTAATGTCAACATTTTTTAAATCTATTAATAACCAGAAACTGATTTTTGCGTTAAGTGACTGGTTTGGCTTGTCTTTGCCACATTTTAGTATTTTATATTTATGCAAAAAAAATTTACAATTTATCAAATAAATTAGTCAGTACGTTTTCAAGAATAGTATTTTCATTCGATTATTTATATTTCTCTTTTTTTCTCTACAGAAGAATAAACGGCAATAACTTTCGAATTGCTCAGCCATCTTTCTAATACCAAACAAACAAATGATGTCAGAGGTTATGTGACAGCATTCTATCATTGAAAATTTCAGCAGGGGGTGATATACTCCCCTTGAATCCGCCAGTGAATGTTAAGTGCATAGAGGCCTCCACAACATGCGCTCTATAAGTCAACTATTATTATTATTACTGGATTGGATTGGATTTATTCGGTGTAAACACCAAGTATAACCTGCGAAAGTCTAAAGAAGACTTATTGAAGTTCCAGTGAGGTCCTTTTGGTGATGATTGGGCAGTACACCGGGAGAAAATCCCCTACACTTTTCCGAAGAGTATACTGCGTTCTTTAACATGCACATGGGTCATAATGAACACAGCATTCAGCCCTCCAGCTGAAATACAAGGAGAGCAGCAATGGGAATTAAACCGTGGACTGAGAGACCTCCACGGTTCAGCGCACACAATTAGCCGGCTGAGCTAACTGCTCGCTTAATATTATTATTTTGCCAAGTAAAATTTGATAGTCTAAACAGGGCTTTACAAATTGGAGGGCACAGGAGTGTAAGGGTGTTTTTTTTTTTTTTAAATATACCTTTTTTTCTAAATATACCTTAGTTTGTAAGCTTGTGGTTTAAGCATTGAAGTATGACATACACTCTCGTAAATTGCGACTGCAGCTTTATATTTGCGAGACCTACAACAAACAAATAATGTTACAAAATTATTACATTATAGATAGATGACTTGGTGTACTTAAAAAAAGTGTTTCATTACCTTTTAATTGTTTGGCTACATGGAAACCTATAAAATTCCTATAGTGGTATTTGTGGCAATGACAAGCCAAACCAGTCACTTGTCGCAAATCGTGTTTCTGAGATAATGGCCAAAACATGCTGTAATGTCAACATTTTTTAAATCTATTAATAACCAGAAACTGATTTTTGCGTTAAGTGACTGGTTTGGCTTGTCTTTGCCACATTTTAGTATTTTATATTTATGCAAAAAAAATTTACAATTTATCAAATAAATTAGTCAGTACGTTTTCAAGAATAGTATTTTCATTCGATTATTTATATTTCTCTTTTTTTCTCTACAGAAGAATAAACGGCAATAACTTTCGAATTGCTCAGCCATCTTTCTAATACCAAACAAACAAATGATGTCAGAGGTTATGTGACAGCATTCTATCACCAAGTCAGCCTATGAAACCAAAGTTCTTAATGGATTTGTATTATATGAAACAGCCTATACATTCTAAAACCAATTTTATATATATTTGTATAGTAATTAAGTTATGTTTCTGTTTGTCTGCCACAGTTGTTTAGCATAACTGTATTTATACCTATCTGTACTCTGGTAGAAAAACATTAAAATGATGTGAAAATAAGTCAACCTTTTCCTAAGGTTTATTCTATTAGCAAAAAATGAAATGTATGCGTTATCATTTTGATATAGGTACTGGCAAACAGTGATGGATCAAAGAATTTGAAATAGAGGGGGGTCCAGGGAGGGACTTCAACAGGTGTAAAGTGTAGACCACCTCAGCTGAGGTAAAGAAAAGTTATGAAATGGCACTCACAGACTTGATTTGAATATACGGTAATTTTATTTTTTTATATATATATTTTGTTTTATAATTTTGAAAGATTTATGGGGCCTGAACCAGCTCCCCCTCCCCCTCCTTGAATAAAGTTGAAGCAGGTAGTATACTGTAGTTTTTAAACAAATATTTCCATTTTGGCAGTCAAAATGTGCCCCATTTCCCAGTCCTTTTGGATGCAACATTTGACAGTATCATCCGAGGTATACTGTATAATAGATTAGGCCTACAGCTCCTTCATTGGCTTTCCATATATTTCCAAATATACAACACATACATATTTGTAAATCCATCCTTTCCATCCATCCGTCCATCCTCTATCTTTGTCAAAAAAAAAAAACAAAAAAAAAAACTATTATTTTTATTGTTATTGATATTATTGTTGTTCTGTAAATTACTTTTAGTTTTTAATATTATTACTGTATTACCATCAGCAGCAGCATTATTACTATCATTATTGTAAAAATAAACAACAAAAAACTAATTATTTTCAAACATATATGTGTAATGTATGAGAATTTTATATAAAATTTCTTTCTCAATACGAATCATTGTTTTTACTGCCATATTTTTATACGAGCCACACATCCCTATTATAATGTACAGGTATATCTTCCAACCAATACAGGATTTTGTTTGATCAGAGATCTGCATATACCAAAGTGAGCAAGAACAAATATAAATAAAAAATAAACAAAAAATAAAAAATATAAATTTGTAACTCGCCTGGATAAGAAACTTGATGAATAAATAACTAAATTAGTCAAATTGTGTATGTTTGAGTTTAGCTTTATTTTGTCTGGTAATTAAAAAAATTTGATCATACACTCATAGGTAAGGTGAGGCTTTTTTTATACCTTGTTTAGAAACGCACCGCCCGTCGATAATGATTTTGAATAAAAATAAAGTCTTATTTTTGGCCAAAATGGAAATTTCAAGAAAAAAATAGAAGTTTTTCTTTATTTTTATTACCCTGCCACTGCCTTGAAATCTCCAAAAATAAGATACTGTATGTATATTTCTTCCTAATTATATAAATTTTAATTATTTAACCATCCTATTACTACATTTTTTAAATTCACCAATACAATTTTATTTTTATTTTCTCCTCCGTCCGGATGTTTTTGGCAAAACCATTTGCCAAATAAAAAAACAAAATTTTATTTTATTTATTTTTTCCACCCTCTGACGATCTTTAAAGAAGTTGGCGAAACAAGATATACAAAAGGCTTGCCTAATATAAATTCAAACATTAATCCCAACATAACAGCATGCATTTCTGTACGTATACTTCATTGTATAAATAATATAATCATCATGATCATTGATAGTGTGAAACTTGACTGATCTTCCCCCAACCCCATTTTCAATATTGGCCATGGGGATAAGTGGTCCGGGAGGTTAAGAACCTAAGCTATATCTCCAGAATAATTAATACATTATATGCCTATGTTTTATGCAATCTGAAATAAACACGAGTCAAGATACTGTAGTATTATTTATTGGAATTCCATAAATAATATACAATAATTACAAAGAAACAGCAACATATACAGTCTACTATTATGGAAATTATATACAAACAAAAAATAGTATAGAAATTTCAATTTGATCCACAGAACCAGCAGTTCAACATTGCCCATATCATACTGTTATTGCACTTCGGGAAAGAAACATTTCACAGGGAATGGTTTAATCATTATACTTCAGATGCGATGGAATTAATCTAGGATAAACCAGCTGTGGAACCACCTGGAAAAATGCTCAATTCAATAAGCTTCCAACTTCTCTGTCCGCACTAGGAAAAAAACTGTTGTATCAGGCCCATAGCGTGATTTAATTTGTGGGGCATTCGCTTCAGTGGAAAGTGGACCCTTTAGAAACCATTATACAATAATGTAATATTATTAGCTGGGAAAGCTCAAGAAATGGCGACTTGAAACACTTCTGGCTTGCATGATCAACGATACTCTGGAGAACATTGTAAATATAGTTACGAATATCAATTTTTTTGTTTTTAAATGCGGACCTTTTTCAGTTTTTGGGTGGTTCGTCGTAACCCTCTAAACACCCCCACCGCCCACCCCACGCTACGGGCCTGTGTATGCCCACTTAAAAGTCATATTGTGCCTATATGGTCATGATTTGATGTCATCATGACCATGTTTAGGCATATTTCTGTCAAATAAAACTTTACATTTACACACTATCAAATTTTATGCATCAAAATGTAATATACCCATATTTAGGTGTAATATGACATCATCATGCCTATATATGGGCACATCACAAACATCTGTCACAATTATTTTTCTTGCTGAATTAGACTTCATTTTGCTGTCGAAACTCTCACTTACTTGACATTATGTTTGTGTAATGTGCCCATATACAGTATAGATATGATGATGTCACATTACTACACACAAGTATGTGGGTATATCACATTTAAATAGTGTGGACAACGCTTCAGACAAACCAAATTTATGGATTTATACAAACAACATACAGTTTTACTTATACATCCGCTTATATGGGGTAGGATATTTTATCATTTGAATTTTCGATTTAAAGCTATTAAGATTCTATATATTTGGTTTTATTGCTAAAATTTATTAGCAGAGTGTACATAAAAGCTGAGCTAGGAATTTCACTATTCATGATGGCCTACAGACTATTGTACACCTAGTCTATGCACTATTGCTTTATCTCCGACAAATGTCTTTGAGTTGCCCATATATGGGCATCATATCACATCACACCCATATATGGGCATATCAAAGGTATTCAGGGATCCCAAGGCTCCCTCAAACCTCTGGCGTCTCCCGGAAAATAACATTACAGTACTCTATTATCAATTGTCTCACAATGTTAGTGCCGATGAGCACCACCATGGGCAGCAAATTAAATTAAATGTGTTAATAAAGCTCACTAATAACCAGGTCTCCCTTTTAAAGCGAATTCTCCCAATTTGGAACCCCTGGATATTCATCACATTAAATATGATGGTCTGGACACAAAGCCTAGTTGGTATGCCAATTTTTCCAAGTTTCTTTTGTTAGTTTCTACGAGTTGATAAAATATCACTTCTTCACATGTGGTGGCACTTATGGTCTTATTGTGTTTTCTTAAGCCGGGCACATACTACATCCAGCAGTTGTCAACCAACGCGATTCTATGAAAAAAAACGCAACGCATCAACACGCGATGGTTTCTAATAACAATCCGTTCTGACTGCCACTGACAATCAGCAGTCTAGCGCTCACAAGACGCGGAGTTGGATTTGTCGTGTGACAGTCTTACGATGCAGCGAGTGACTGGCTTTACATGGTGAAGCTCCAAGAGGGTATCTGGAGACTGCAGAGTTTTAGCAATTTAAGTCTCTTATCGAAATGATTTCACACTTGGTTAGTGATTTTTTTTTTTCTTACTACTGCTGGGGGATAAGCACACTGCCCCTCCCTAATAATTTTCCACCACCTCCTGGATCCGCACCAAAGCATTTCTTTGAAATGTATACAAGCTATATAACAATCGAACTTATATTGTTATATTATTAAAAGCTACTATTTTCAAATCAAATATAACTGAGCACCAAAATTTAAAACAAAATAATTTTTTTTTTTTGTTAAATTCATAAAATTTGTAAAGGAACCAAAATATGTACAGTTCAGGAAATATAAATGAAAATAATTTCTCTACCTAAAGAAAATCATATATAATAAATTTAATATTGAAATAAAACACCCATAGAAAAGAAATTTAGATATGGAATTATCAAATACAAAATTAAAAAAAAAAAAAAAAAAAAAAAAAAAAAAAAAAAAAAAAAAAAACTATCAGTAAATAATACAGTACTTAACAAGAAATGTACATTGTTTTTATAACACAATGATTCATCTGAAAGTACATGAAGTCTATGTAACTCTGTGTTTATGTAGAAGCTAATAATTCTATAATAATATATACAAAAAATAAACAATTTAATTGTTTCCCCCACATTTATATTAGATTACAGAAACATTAGTATATGGGTGGGTTTTTTTTTTCTTACTTGTTCTAAATTTAATTTATATTTCATACCTTATCACAGTATATCTGTAAAAAAAAATGAAGTATTGAAAATTCAGAAGCCTGTATTTATGCACAAAATCATGATGTATTTAAAAAAAATAATAATTATCGTTAGTGAGTATTTCTCTATTAATTAGGGCTGTAGCTTGGTGGTTTATGAAAGCATAGCTCTTTCAAACCCAGTGTGATAAAAAAAAAAGTGTTGAATGCTCATAATATAGTCATAATGTGCCTATATATGGTCATCAAATTATGTCATAACCATATTTAGGTATGCTACAAGTTTTTGTCCAATAAAATTGGTTTAGTCTGGACAGGGCTTTAGGAAATTATTCTCATGGCTGAAATTGAAACTATGATTCACACAAGACAAAATATTCCAGAGGGCACCAGAAAAAATGAAGCGAGAGTGTCTCCATTTCAAATCATGTTTATGTGAAGGTGCATCTATTTAAAATTACCATGTGTTACATTGCGAAGATTTGTAAACTCTACCAAGATATTTTTACATGGATTAACATCAGTGCACTAATGTCTTCGGACTGATGACGTCATGACCAGGCTGAAATAACACAGTCAGAATCTTGACAAAGATCGCCAACTGTGATCGAAACTTCAGATAAATGTTGATGTTAATAATAATGGTTCAATTAAAAGCAGTTTCTAAAATGTGGTTTTACTTGAATTGTTACAATCTATTGTATTGACTTTAAAGCAAGGTTGTATTCACTTGTGTAAAAGTGATGGATATTTCTCAGGAAGTCCTATATTCAGGATGTGTCCCTTGTAACAATTTGTCTTGTGTGAATGGACATTTCCGCTAAGTAATTGGCAATTGTACATCTGCTGCATGCAATGCCAGCAGGGAGAGCCTCCGGGGGGAGGGGGGGGAGAAAACAAGATTTATTGGAGGAACAAAAATTCTGAATTTTCACAGAATGCGAGATTAAATAAGCCTTTTTTTTCAAATCCCTAAATTGTCAGAATATCCAACAGCTTTTCCTTCTGAGCACACCCTGTGAGGAATTCTGACTAGACCCCCTCTATCAGGCAGACCCTAGTCCACCACTGATTGCGCAAAATAGAAATATACAGTGCAATTAATCATGCGCATTATCTAATTATTACCCTGGCTGAAGAGAAATTGCAAACTCTAAGATGTTGACAAGTCCAATTCCTGCTCAAGTTCATCAAGGAAATCATCAAAATCTTTTAAACTGGAATCTAACACTGAATGACTTGTTGTTGGTGCAACTGTCTTTGCGCTCTGATTCGACGATGCTGGAATGTTTATGTCAGCTACTATTTGCAATGTGTCTTTACCAGAATCAAGAGGTCTTAAGCTAGTCTGTGCCATTCCAACTGTCATCGTACTTGCTGTTGTTATTTCATGACTGATGTGGTTATCAACAGATACAGATGCTGGTATAACAATAGGTTCCGGTGTCATGTCTGCGTTCACAAAATTCCCTTCCCATGATGCATCATCTGATGAAATTGTTGTATCTTTCTTGCTGTTGGTATATTCCAGCTTGTCCTCAAATTCAGTTGGCGTCAATGGTACACCTATAAGAGAGGGAGATGTTATGATGATTGGGTCAAACAGTACCTAAGGAACACACATTTCATTGGCAAACCTGTAATCTGAGGGAACAGGTTGGAGCAAAAAAGACATGAATTTTCTTGGTATACCTAAAAAACAGGAAATTCATTAGTATACATCTTAAAAGAGAGATATCAAAATGTTGTGAAAATGAAAGAACGGGGGAAATATCATTGGAAAACCTGTAATCTGAGGGTGACAGATATCAATATGTTTGTGGCATCTAAAGAACAATTAAGTGATTGGCATACCTGAAATCTGCGGAAAAGATATAAATATTTTGTGGTATAACTTAAGACTAGATATTATCTCACCTGTAGAGAGGTAAAGATAGCCATACTATGATATTGTAAAACAGTATTATCCATGGCCAGTAGACTTTTGGAAGATAATTTGGAAATAGTAGTAATGAGAAAATGCCGAAGAAGATCATTTAATTTGCAGGATACTGTATTTGTGCTTGCTTAAAAAGTTGCAAGAGATTGTGCTAATTTCAAGGAGAATCCTAAATTTATGGGAGACTAAATCCATGGCTTTGATGTTCAGGTCACAAACCAATCAAGAGTAGTGTAGTGTATATTTAGTAGAAGTGACTTAACATGATCCTTATACAAAAATATTTAGAGGTGAAGTTCGCACAGCAGCAAGGCATTGGACCCAACAGCTGCCAATGTTGTACTTGCTGATGTCTTTGGGTAAGACACAGCAGTCCTGTTGTGTATAATACTGTACAGTAGCATGTGTGTATTTGTAAAAACCTGCGGGGTTGTTTCCTAGTGTAGAGACCATGGTACAGTAGGGAACCAGTCACACCCCTACACACACCCCAAGTAACTTTTCCCCCTTGAGGAACTCACCCCTCTGACAAACTTGTTTGTTAGGGTATGTTTTTCAGGGGCAAGTTTGTTAGGGGGTGTGAGTCTGTAGGGGGCAACATTGTTAATTTGGTGACTTTGTTGAGGTGCGAGATTGTAAGGGACGAGTTTGCTAGCTAGGGGGTGAGTTGAATGGAATCCGTACAGGTTCCCAGAGGCCTGGGCTGAACTTCCTTCTTTGCAGTAATAAACACATTTTAACACATTCACTGCCAGGGTAAGAGTTCACATCAAGCAAGGTTCACTCAGGACGCCAAGGACGCGAGATCACATCCACACCTGTCCAAAAATACCACTGTGGCACTATAATTGTATTGCACGTTAACTCGCTGGCAGTGGTCGTCAGAATGAGAACTCGCACCCTGGAGGTTCACAATAAAGCCCGGAACTACTAATGATCTAAAAATAAATATTGTTTGCGTTTCAGTACAGTTCATGGAATGTAATGAAACACAAACATATATTTTTTTTTTTATATCATTATTGTTTGTGTTTTATTACAGTCCATGGGAATGATTTTGATTTACGGTGGCGTACTATATGACTTGGCATACGGGATGAAACAAGGAAAAAAAGGCTTGGCAGTCAACATGTTAAAACACTCTAAACACTACTCTGAATTTGAGACAGGTTATTATAGTTAGAATTGTTATAGTAGAATTTAACTTATTCATGTGAGTGGAAAACGTCCATGACTTGCATGAATGTTGGGAATCCCAGTTGTTTTTGTTGATCAAATCACAAACCAATCAAGTAGGGGGTGGTTTGCTGGTGGAGAGACCATGGTACAGTGGGGAACCAATCACACCACCACACACCACTTGCAGTCTTGCACCTTGACAAACTCGGCCCCTACAAACTCTACCCAATTTTGTAGGAGGAAACGTTGTCAAGGGGCGACTTTGTCAAGAGGGTGACTTTGTAGGGAATGCGATTGTAAGGGACGAGATTGTAGGGGGTAAGTTGACTGGAATCCGTAGAGTAAATACAAGACCTTTTTTTATCTTAAACTTTGTAAAACTTACCATTTGCCCTTACAGACAATGACCTTGCTTTTACAGACTCCAAAAACATTTCAAAATCATCTTGACCACCAGCCCTGAAATAGACAAACATATAGAGTAAACTGATTTAATAGCTTTATTAGTATTGCAGTAGCCATACTCTAACATTGGGCTAGGATGAGGTGGTTTCAACCACTACAACAAAGCTCCTCTTGTGACGACCACACATTTTTAAGACAAATTACAGCACATGTAATGTTTATATTAATCAACTCACACATCCCACTGGCTTTCATCATCTCCTAGCCATGACTGTGCTCGACCATTACTGTTTTCCATTCGTTTGGCATCCATTAATTTCTTCTGTCTGGCTATTCTTGAAGCTTCTCTTTTAGCTGCTATGAAAGCTTCCTCTTCAAGCTTTATTTCCTCTTCTTGTCTTTGTAACTGAAATATAAGGATATTAAAAATTAGAGATATACAACCTGGATTTCCAAGACCTTTGCCCCTTTTCCCCCACTGGACACCCTATTGTGGTCAGTGTAGGACAGAACCTGGTTCCTATTAAGCGGGTGCCATGGGCTTCTGAGTTTTAGCCATATTATATATTTATTAAAAATTTTGGCTGATGCCCGGGTGTTAGGGTGGTAAGGGCAGTGTTGGTGAGCTCCTTTTTGCCACATCCTGGATCTGCCAACCTTTTTAAATTTTCAATTAGCTCAATATCACACACTTTGTTGTAGTGGGAAGGTCAGAAATGCAGGGGTTCCACATTAGAAAAAGCCAATTCCAGAAGATTAATAGTTAGAATCCTTGCCAAGCCACTACGGCTCATAGGCCTGGAGCTTAATCCCCAGTTTCTGAGAGCATGAAACAAGAGTGTAATACTCTCCCTGGGTGGAATGCTGGTCCACCACAGGTTATTCCCAGCAATTTGCTAGTACCCATGATACAGCTGGGTAGACTGAAGGAATGTAGATAAAGTGCCTTGCTCAAGGACACAAGCGAAATGCACATGATTGAAACCTGACCCTGACGACGACGACAACAATAATAATATGTGCTAAGTTGGACTTAAGTGGAATATCTTTTGTGTTACTTTCCACTTAATTGTTCTCTAATTTCTCCATTGTCTAGACAACAAATAATAATAATAATAATTGTGGCTACTGGCTCTCTGGTGTGATGATCTGTTTCTTACACCACATTCGCAATACTATTCTGTGCCCGCACGCTTTACTCAACATTGAGGTCCAGTGCAGTATGCATAGATACAGATCTGCAAATGTTCAATTACATCTTTACCTTTTCATCAATTTCTGTATCTATTTTCCTCTGAGCTGCTACCAGTTCTGTGTACCTGAGGTCATTCAACAGCTCTCTTTCCTCATGTGTAATAATTGCATTTCCATCTTCTTGACAACCATCCTTAAATTCCAAGAATAAACATGTTTTGTTGTTAAGTCCATTTTTAACTAACTACAGTATAAAAACATACAAATATACACTGCCTAGTAGAGGTCTACAAAATACTGTTAGCATTTTTTTCCAGGTACTTATTTGGGTACTTATTCTGCATAATCAGTGGCATAGCCAGAGGTTTTGTAAGTTGCTGAATTTTTAACATGGTTTAATCTTGCAGCTGAATTTCGTGTGCTTTTGCATCAGCAAATAAGTTAATAACATGATCAAAGTTAGCAATGTTGTCTCCTTCATCACACTCTATACTAAGTAGTGTCAAAGCAGATAGTCTCGCTTTTCCCATTGTGGCTCTGATATATGGCAGGATGAACTTTAGTCATGTAGTCATTATAGAATAGGATAAAAAACAAGAGAATACGGTTGAAATGGACTGAAAAGAATTCACAATCTATAAATTTGCAAATAAAAACAACTACATTCAGATTCTTATTATTAACTGGAAAATATTCATGCCTAACGACATACATCAATTTCGTCGTTTTTATTCTAAAAAGTGCTTATTTTTTTACTTTCATTCTCCTATTTCAGCACCTCCACAAACCTGGCGCCCAGGGCATGTGCCTTCCATTGACCCCCCCACCCCACTAGCTACGCCACTGTGCATATTAATAGTTAGCTGCGCACCTCTGCTTTACATTAAACTCAGTCACTAGCATAGCTTTTAACGAAGAAGCAACAACAAATTTATGTTATGATGACAGAATGGATTTATTGCATTGATTAATAAACTATACATACATCATCCATAAGGTTCTCAAATTCTATGCCCACATTACAGTTGTGATACCTCCCACGGAAGTAGTCCTTCCTTCTGAAAGAAAACAACATATCAAGAATTTTGTATTAATTAACTGTATTTTTGTACAGCAGGAGACCAGGAGTAGGTACAAGGGTTGTTGTTCAGGAACCAACTACAAATTTGTGGGGTTGATTACTGTGCTCCCTCTTATTCAGTTATGTCGCTGAAGGGCAAGGCAAACTAGAGTTGCCTACATGAGTACCTCGACGATGCTATACTGTGAGCTGTATCTGGTACCAATCATACTTTACTGTCATACTCTATTCAATTAATACAGAAATCAACAATTCCATTGAGATTCAAATAATTTCATTATATTATAACATACTGTGAACCCAAAAATTCAAGACTCCTCCAATTCTGAGACCATTTAAATTCAGGACCATTTTTTCAAAGAACCAATAACAATCTGAATAAATCTTATACCCACCGACTGTACTGTAAACATCTAATTGGAGACCAAACCCCGAAACAACATAAATTTTCAGGTCCCATTTAAGTGATCTCGAATTGGAAACTTTATTAAAAGTTTCCTAATTTTCATTTGGTACAGTATGGATCTCTGAAAAAAAAAAAAAAAAGATGGGATCTAAAAAAAAAAAAAAAAAAAAAACACCCAGCAACAAGAGGCAGAATGAAAATCATCCAACCAGCAAGTACATTGACAGGGTGCTGTATTAATAGTGTAGGTCTAGTTAGTTATCTAACTAGGCCTAAACCTAGGCACCGCCCCCCCCCACCCCCAGGCCTTAGCATATATTATAATATATGCCTAGGCCTAGCCTAGGCCCTAGCTAGGCTATATACCTAGGCCTAGTAGGCGAATGACTAAAGTCTAAATTCAAAACCAAGTCAGGAAAAAAAAGGTAGGCCCTACTGCTACCAGACCTCTCTAGTAATTAGATACTAGGCCTAAGCATATAGATACCTAGGCTTAAGCCTAGGGCCGAATAAATGTATAGGCCATAGGCCTAGGCACCCTAGCCTAGGCCCTACTAGGCCCTAGTATGTTATGCCACACACACAGCCCGCGACTGTACATTGCCCAGGCCTGACATTTTGTACGTTGTCTTACCTTTGTTTTCTACCAAAACATATTTCCAAACAATTCCCCATGATGTAATATAAAACAACATTAACAATAGACGTATCGGTTTACTGAAACATAACTTCAGTTAATAATAGGGATAGCCTAAACGTCCGTCTAAACCTAGGTATTAAAAGCAGGACATTACAACAACACCACCAATCACAAACGCCAAATCATCACATCGCACCACGGTTATAGTCGTCGACAGGCTTCACGCATTGCCGGTAGATAGAAAGTACGGAAGCTTAAAGTGACCTTCCAGGTGTCTAGATAATTATCTCGTCATGTCTACATCCTGTAGGAAAGAAGATCAAATGCTGCGTTTCTGGATCTCCTCATGTCTACATTTTTCAGAAGAGATGCTCACTTGACGAGATGCTAGATCTCGTCATGTCTAAATCTTTTAGAAGAGATGATCAGATGACGAGATCATTAATCTCATCATGTCTACATCCTTTAGAAGAGATGATTAGATTACGAGATCCTTCATTTCGTCATGTCTACATCCTTTAGAAGAGATGATCAGATGAAGAGATCTTGAATATCGTCTTGTCTACATCCTTTAGAAGAGATGATTAGATTACGAGATCATGGATCTTGTCATGTGTACATCCTTTAGAAGAGATGATTAGATGACGAGATCCTGGATCTCGTCATATGTACATGCTTTAGAAGAGATTATTAGTTGACGAGATCCTGGATCTCGTCATGTCTACACCCTGTAGAATACCGTAGATGATTAGACAAGATCCAGGATCTCGTCATCTGATTATCTATTCTACATGATGTAGACATGTTGAAATCATGGATCTAGTCATGTGTACATCCTTTAGCAGAGATGATCGGATGACAAGATCTAGGATCTCGTCATGTGTACATCCTTTAGAACAGATGATTAGATGACGATATCTTGGACTCGTCATGTGTACATCCTTTAGATGAGATGATTAGATGACGAGATCATGGATCTCGTCATGTGTACATCCTTAGAAGAGATTAATGTAATGTAGTGGGATTACTATAGCGCATTACACCGAAGTCTCAATGCGCTAAAATAAAATAAGAAAAAAAAAGAAATTCCAACTAAAGATTCTATGCTAACCAACTAAGGAAAGGAACCGAAATGAAAGGACTATAGCAGAAGAACCGCACATCATCGCACCGTTCTCCCGCAATTTAAGACCATTGTCAAACAATGGTTGGCCGGAACATAATTCACAGGTGCCATAATGATGCACGGTATCTATTCTAACTGATGTTATAAAAAAGAGAAAGAAAAAACTAATAACATATAGTATACAGGCGTGATGGTTAGATAACGAGATCCTGGATCTCGTCATATGGGGTCATAGGGGTGCAGGTCAACTCGGCCACAAGTCAACTCGGCCACAGTCAACTCGGCCACAAGTCAACTCGGCCACGAGTCAACTCGGCCACAAGTCAACTCGGCCACAAATCAACTCGGCCACAAAAATTTCGAAAAATAAAATTTTAATGATGAACGTAAACAGTGTAATAAAAAACAATTAAAACCAAAGAAAAGATACCATTAAATAAAATAGGTCGGGTCTTCATTGATTAAAATGTGACGAATTAACGATAATTGAAAACAATTCTAATTTTAATTTCGATCATTTACGCGAGCACAGAATTTACGCGAGCACGCACGCGCGCAATAGTCGGGGAGAGCTTCCCCCCCCCCCACCGGTCAGGAAAAAAAAACACAATTCGTCGGGGATAAGAAAAAAGATTATTTGTATTTTGCAAATTATTAGACCCTACAATCGATTAAATAAGCCTTTGAAACCCAAACTGTCAAAATTTTCGGGGGCTTCACCCCGTGGCCTGCTTTCGCAACATTTTAAGCGACACTCTACCACGCTCAATTTGCTCTCGTCGGGGAAATCTTCCTCCTCGTCGGGGGCATCGGCGGATCAGGCCAATGTTATAATTGCTGAACATTTGAACTACCAAAACGAAATAATAAGAAAAATGATCATGTTTTTGTAATACTGTAAAAATTCAACCACTGACAATAATATTATGAAAAAATGTTTACTGGAAAAAAAAAAATAGAATATGCCAGTTTACCAAACAAGACCCTATTTTGTTCTCTATTATAGTGTAAAAATATGAGTTAAAGTGTATCAATACACACATCTTTGTATCAATACACAAATCTATAATAATTAGTTCAGTAATAAAATATACGAAAAAATGCACGGAGAAATAAAATACTTAAGGCCTGTTTTTGATTGTTAATTGAATATACTTAACAAATATTATTTTGTAAATGATCAGTCAGTAAGTTTTAGACCAAAAGGTTGTTAGTAGTAGGCCTATGTTGTATGCTAAGTGCAGTATGTTTCAAAATAATAATAATAGGCCTAATTAAAATGAGTACCGTACAGTATATTGCATTTAAACATTATTGCATTGAAAGTTTGCCTTGAAGGGATGTAAGCCAGTGCTTCCTAAATTGCCTATTATTGCATATTATTTATGTTCAAAATAAAAAATTTATATATATTCACAATTTATAAAAAATGTTACTTTAGTACTAATAAAACCTAAAAAAACAAAAGCAAAAAATAGAAAATAGAAGCGATAACGAGCGCATTATTCGCGTGAGTTTACATTGGATCATGGGACCTATTAATAAGATTGGATCTAACAGTAGCCATGACGTGTATATGCGCATGTGTAAAGAGAAGAACAACCCGGATGACTCTTCTTCTTTAGAGGGAGAGAATAGGAAGAATACAATCCAGTAAATTGTCCGTACCATTTCAGACTTTTTTAGACGACGGAGTTGATAGGTAAGGAGAAGATGCATAAACTTCCAATATATAATTGATAGTAGCGTAATGATTTATAAGCCAAAATATTAGCCTTAATGTTACTTGACTTCTGTGACAGTAGGCTAGCTTACCTAGTCTAGGCCTAGGCTAGGCCTAGCTACTAGGTAGAGACATACAACACCTAGTGCTATGTAGGGGCCTAGGCCTCTAGCCTACCTAGGCCTAGCTAGCTAGAGACTCTAGGCTTAGGCTAGCCATGCGGGTGTAGTCCAAGGACCGTTTCGTACAGGTATTATTATACCACTGTTCTAATAAATTGGCCTAGCCTAGACTCTAGAAGCAGGCCTAGTAGTAGTATTTTTTTTTTACAATTAGTGTCTGGTGGTTCTGTAACTAAAAAAAATTATTAGTTTACATCAAACCCATCCACATGTCTTCTATGGCATTAAACAAGAAAAAAAAAAACTCCAAATGTGATATTTGGCTTCAGCAATATAAAGATCCTCCCTCCCTCATCACTTCTAGCCTAGATAGGGTGATAAACTAATCATTTTTTTTTATTGGGCCTAACAGAACTATATAGTTTTGGTAGGTATGCCTTGACCTTTGACATAGCTTAGTACAGTTGAAACTAAAAGATGGTTTATTTAAATCCTCAACTTAGCTTGAAATACTACAGTATCTGATAAAATTAATCAGTGTACATCTTTCATAATGCATCTACTGTACCTGTATCAAGCATCTAACTCACTCAGCTTCTTCTTTGCAGGTGTGTTTCAAGATGGGTGGTCAAATTGCAAAACTACTTACTAGCCTATTTGGCAAAAAAGAAATGAGAATATTGATGGTAGGATTGGATGCAGCTGGTAAAACTACAATTTTGTACAAGCTTAAACTTGGAGAAATTGTTACAACAATTCCAACAATTGGTGAGTGACAATATTTAAATTTTTATATATATATATATATATATATATATATTTTTAAAAAAAATTAAAATTAATAAATATCTATTCTTGCATTCAAGGCTTCATTACAGGATAGAGAGCCCAATAACATGTTTAAACACCAAATTTAGCATTTTTCATCAAAGAGAAGTGGAATTACATATTAGAATATTCGATTTCTGAGGATTTTCTATGGTGGCCATCTTGAATTTCAAAATGGCTGCCATCCTAGCTTTTTGAAACTATGTTTAATTTATTCAGGGAGCCCAAAAACATATGATTAGATCCAAATTTACCATTTTACTGAAATATTCAATTTTTGACAATTTTTAAGGTGGCCATCTTGAATTTCAATATGGCTGCCATTTTAGGTTTTCGAAACCTGTCTCATTGGGTTCAGTGACTAATAACATATAGTTAGACCCTAGATTTGCTCTTTTTCATTGAATATAAGTAAAGTTATGACCCAATATCTGAATTTTGGCAGCCATTTTGAAAATGCCAAAAAATGTGTTCCGCTCTTTTTCTGGAGGTTCCCTCCCCGCTCAATTTTTATTTATACCCTAATGATGCTTAATCAGCAGAGAAACCTTGGTCCCCGAAAAAATGGTCATGGGGGCCCTTATTTTCACTATACTAAGTTACAGGGTATTTACAAAATCATCAATAGCCTTTGCCCCACCCCCCTCCCCAGTCAGCTCCCCTACAGTATTCCAATACTCATAGATGCATCACTGCTAAATGTATTTCAATATTTTTATTTTTTCAGGCTTTAATGTGGAAACAGTAGAATATAAAAACATCAGCTTTACAGTATGGGATGTCGGAGGTCAAGATAAAATACGACCTCTGTGGAGACATTATTTTCAAAATACACAAGGTAAAATCGTTGACATTCCATTTTACATTGCAAAATAAAATAAATTAGGTCGTGGTGTATCAATATTATTTCAGTTGATCTTTTTTTTTGATTAATGGTTTATTTTAATCTTGCAGTGTACTGCCTTTTTCATTAAAAAATTAAGAATTTTCGTAACTGCAGAAAACAGACCCAAATATAAACAATATGGATACTTAGGCATAAGAAATTAACTTTAATTACATGTGATTTGTTTACACTAACTATACATCTGTCTTGAAGACTTATGCTGCCAAAGAATCTTTAAGAAAACCTGTTGCAATATTAAAATTTAGAAATCATCCACTTTTTAATTAATTTATATGGTTAAACTCAGGTAAGAGATTACGCTCTGCTAATTTGCACCTCCAGATTTCTCAACTCATTCATACCTTTTGCAATAATTTACTACAACTCAAATGAATAAATTTATGGTTTCACCTGTATGTTTTAACTGTATTTATTTGCTGTATATACATAGGTCATATCATTTCCATACTTGTATTTGTTACTTTTCTTGTTATATTTTCAACGTTTATATATTTTTGTATCTGTGAATGGTTGCACCCAAATAGAATTTCCGTATTTTGGACAATAGAATGATCTTGAATTGTGAATCTTGAATCTATTTTACTCTTTGTAAAATGTGGCATGTCGTGACAAAATGGCTAAGTTGTCGCACAGGCCAGTGGCCAGTAGTGATTAAATTAGCTATGAAAATATGAGATTCAAAAAATGACATATATCAAGAAAGTGTTTTCACTATACATCCACAGTTTAATATCCAATTAATCATGTTTCAAAGTCTTAGCTCATGAAATGGTCAATAATGTTATTCTTGTAGTTAATTCCATTATCAACAATGTACACACAAATTACTTTTGAAGGCAATTACTCAAAATCATATTTATCTTGATTTAAAAGTTTCTGTACTTTCTGGAGCGATATGATGTTATATCAAAGGAACCAGCCCATGGGAAAAAGAAGCAAGCGCGGCCCCCGATTACACACATACATGTATGCCAATTAGAAAACGATTTAAACACACAGCGACAATACATTCCACAACTTATGAAAAACAGAGATTTGTGGAGAATTATTAAAAAATGATTTTGCTTATCATTAACTTGGTGTGCCTGATAAAGAAAGAGGTATTACATTATAGGCTATGATTATATATAGTTATATTTTTTTCCAAATAGGTTTAATCTTTGTAGTTGATAGTAACGACAGAGAACGAGCTATCGAAGCAAAGGATGAATTAAATAGAATGCTAAATGAGGATGAACTTAAGGATGCTGTACTGCTGGTATTTGCAAACAAGCAGGTAAGATCTTAATTCTTAAAATTTATTGGAAACCAGCTGTCTCTTATACACATCTTATATATATATATATATATATATATATATATATATATATAATGTATTTTTAAAAACAATGCTTGTTTTCATGTCTATTTTTTAGGATTTGCCAAATGCAATGAATGCTGCTGAACTCACAGAGAAACTAGGACTGCATTCGCTTCGTAATCGCACATGGTACATCCAGGCAACATGTGCCACAAGTGGTGATGGTCTCTATGAAGGTCTTGACTGGTTGTCTTCACAGCTCAAGAACACGAAATAGGTTTGGGCAAAAAAAGGAATTGCAGATTTGATGTAAAATGATGCTGTCGTACAAATAAGCTATTGGAAATCCTGTGTTCCTCTTCCAACTAACTCATCTCTTAGTGTATTACAATACATTTCTTCTTTATAAAGTCAACAGTTAAAAACAAACTAATATAAAAAGATTGCACGGTACAGCATTCCTATTATAAAGACATACTGGTACACAATTTAGGTGGTCAGAGAACTAATTTTTTTTTTTTTTTTTTTTTTTTTGTTCATTTTAACTTATTGGGTTTTTCAATACCTTTGTTATTACTATAGCATTAAATCTTGTCAAATATACAGATCAAAAAAAAAAAGTTCACAAAAAATATAGAAATACAAACTGACAAATTGTTTTCAAGATGTAATCCGTTTTTCTAAAGCAAAGGTGGGCAAAGTGCGGCCCAACAGTGGTTTTTCTGCGGCCCTCAAAAACAAATTATAAATCCTATGTGTGCAGCCCGCCAACCATTTTTAGCTAAGAAACGCCTAGTTTTTTTAAGGCCCGACACCAACCATCTGTAAAAAGTAATATTAAAGCTGAGAACAAGTTGGTATAAAAGCAATACATGCAGGTTTTTGGAACCACACTGGAACCATCAAAATTTGGATGCGGCTGTCAGTGTTGAATAAAAAATTCACTTTGGCCCTCTCCCAACGGTGTTCATGCAAACCCTTGGTTTAAAGTTCTGTGCACTACCAAATTTTCTTTGACAAACACTTGTTTGTTGTATGCCTACATAGTCATAATGTGCCCATATATGGTCATAATGTGCCCATATATGGTCATGATGTGCCCATATATGTTCATGGTGTGATGTCATGAACATATTTAGGCACATCACATGTTTTTGTCAAATAAAATTTGATAGTGTAAACAGGACTTCAAACAACTGATTAAATCATTGCTACTGTTGAGAAAGCTTTCATTGGGGAACTAGGAACTTTTACAGATGGGGGGAGTCTATTTTATCTCAGCCCCACCGACTGAAGAAAATTTATGCTTACAGCACCTAAAGACGGCCTGGAAATGGTACTCTCAGACTTAAATTTGAGTATAAAATTTCTTTTTTTCTCCCGTTTATTTTGTAATTTTGATAAATTGTGGGGACCTGGGCAGGCTACCCCCACCCCTTGAATCCACCACTGGAAATGAATACCATAAAACGTTAAATAAGGGTCATTCCGAATCATATCAATCATTGTGACCCTTCCCCCCCCCCCCTTATATTTAAAAAAAAAATAAAGATACCGCTTTCCGAAATATCGAAAATCTATTTTCACACAATGCTTCGGCAGATTTTGGGGGAATCTAACATTGTAATAAAATATGCTACCCAAATTTGAGTGGTATTTTTTGAAAGAGGAGCCAACTACCAGTCTATGTAGCAATTTACAACTTTGTTATCTTCGTTAATATACTGTAGTAGATAATATAGCTTTGTAAAAACTGTACAAAGTCAAAGGAGCCATTACCACCAACAAAATCCAAGGGGGGGGGGGTTCACAAGGGAACTTTCACATTTCTGGCCGATTTGAGCCGGAATGACTCAAAGGCACAGAATTCATTTGTGTTTTTATTGGTAGCAAAGTACTGATGAAAAAAGAAATGTTTTTTTGGAATTTAAATGTATGAAGTATGTTTTATCATTACATTCATTTAGTTCAAAGCTTCTGATAGAATTTTTTACTTCTGTATGATCTGTAGAAAATGTTATGACTTATGGAAATTAATGTTTCAAAGTTGGACATAAACGACGAATTGCATTTAATTCAAATTACTTATTTATTGTTTACTTTTTCTTTAATTATATTTTTAATATTTACTCTTGACATTATTTTAAAATAATAATTTGTTAATATGGATTCTGATTAAAAGGTGAAGTATAGGAAATAGTTGAGAATATCATGTACAATGTCAAATCCAGGAATTCAAAATAGAGGGGGCCCAGGGAGCGACTTTCACAGATGGAGAGTTTAGACCACCTCAGCCCCACCTTGATTTGGGTTGTGGTAAGAAAATTTATGGATTATGGCACAGAAATGTCAACCTCAGACTTGGAGTTGATTAATATTTTTCCTTTTATCTCCATTTTTTTATTTTTTATAATTTTGAAAAATTAGGTGGCCCACTTTAATCTGCCACTGAATGTATATAATGATGCCTATTATAAAGCAACTTTATAGGATTTTCAAGGTCCTCACTGGTTTTCCTTGATGATGGTTAATGGTGAATTGATATTAAACTCTGTTTACATACATTTTATGTGACAAATAATTGTGCCCATCCATATATGTACATCGTCTTGCCCATGGAAACATTACATACATTTTGATAGAGTGGACAGAACTTATGATGTGATTATTATGTCTAAAAATTACTCGACTGTGTGTTTGAAAAAATACAGTGGTACATTTTGGTTAGAAAAAACACTAATTTAATCCTGTCTTGATAACTATTTTTGTTTTTTTGTTATTTTATTTTTTTAATTTTAGATCTATAATACTTAATAAATACACTCATTGGTTTGTAACAGTAGCCGTTGTTAATTAAGTTATTTTTTTAGGGAATTTTTTTTATACATATAAATTTCAGATCCATGTGAATAATTTATGCTTCAATACTCAATTTTTTATTAGTAAATAGCTGTGAATTGTACGATTGGTTATTGTATTGAAATAAGTAAAGAATTGACAATCTAAGAACATAAGTACATTTGTGGAGTATCTAGGGAGTGTGCGGGGATCACTTCCTTCCCACCCCCACTTCCCAACCCCCCCTTCCCAACCCCCCCCCCAAAAAAAAAAGATGTTTGAACCCAAAAAAATCATTCTCAATCAACTTATAATACCTTATTTTGCGAGCTTGCTTCCCCTCACTTAATCATTGAGCCCCCACTTCACCTTGTTCTCCCCTCTCCGCTTCCATTTTATTACTCTAGATATGCCACATCCTGTATGGTAGAGGAGCCTTTAAAAAACTAGCTTAACTAGATTTTATTGTGCTGTTCATTAAGTTTTATTGTTGTAAAGTATCTATGAATGTGATAATTTTTTTCCTGTCTTTTTTGTATGATAAATTAATGTATGGTAAAAATAGTGGACTTTACATGCTAATGGTGTTTCCTCCTACATGTTGAGTAAATACTCTATAGAAAAAAAACTACAAAAAAACACTGGGCTTGTGTGTCATTATATTTTTTTTATGTGTGCAGTACTGTACTATACTCAGGGGCGGATCCAGAGATGTCCAAAAGTGGGACCGAAATTTGGGCCGATCGAGACAACAATGTCCTAGGGGGTCCGAAATTTTTGTGTTCTAGAGCCCGAAAATAACATTTGAGGCGTTCTGGGCTATCGTTTTTCTTTTTCTTTCTTTTTTTCTTTCTTTTTTCTTCTTTTACCTCC